ATGCCTGAGGTCTTAGGGACTACTAGCACACAGTTTAATTATGTAGCCTTTTCCTCCTACTAAGAGCAAGTTGAGAAAAATCACATGTGAATTGCCTTAAGGGAAGAACAACACAAAAACTCCATCTTGGGCAATTCTAGACAATGGTCTATGAAGGATATGAACAGAAGACCAATATAATGTCACAAAGGGATGGAATTGGGTTAAAAATGAAAGGAACTGATTTGAACCAAAAAACTCTTTTGTTCATGAACTGAAATTGATAAAATCATGAACTGAAATAGATTTCTATGCATGCATGAGTTTGTCTGGATGAACACAAATACTATGTATAACCAAAGAGCTCTAATAAAATAAAATAACTTCTTGATATCTCCTGAATCTACATCGTTGTGGACACATGGAGCATTGCCTGCTCTGTGTGGCAGCTGTGGATGTCTGGGAAGAAAGTAAAATCCTACATAACCATAGAGCCTTCCCAGTGGTGACACTCAAGTACACTATGTGATGTTTAAGTATCCAAATGTGGATATCTTTGTTGGCATAATATCATTACCTGGGTCTTTTTTAAAATTCTGAACTATCTGCCTAAAATCAAAATCAGTGACTCAACTATTCAATTTATAATTTTAAAAAGTCAAGAATGTGAACAGATTTGTGCATGCCTAAATACCATAATGTGGTATTGCAAGTTTTTCACTAAAAAAACAATTCCACCTAACTCTCTAAATGATAATTCTGAAACCCACCTACATAATGCTGCATGTAAATCAGTCTATTTAAAAAAATGAAATAAAAAAAAACCCTGAAATACTTCCTTAAAAAATAAAACACTCAGATCTTGCGACAACAACAAAGGTTATTAAGAAAATATCCACTCAATGTGATAGGAAAAATGAGAGAGAGATAAATTTGAGAAAATTACCTAGGTTTAATTCATATCTTCTCATTTCCCCAATGACTACAGAGAACTAGCACTTCTCTATAGCAGGAAATAATCCTAACCTAAACTATATTACAACTCTGTGATGATTAAATTGACTTTTTAAAAGGATCTAAAGATTTCCAACTTTACTGGAACACATTTTCTTTATTTTTGCTGTGCTTCTTTTCAGTATTTTATTGATTTCATCAGCTAATGTTTGAGAATAGCTGTGCTTTCTGTGGTAATGGGGATTAAATCCAGGGATGCTCTACTACTGAGCTACATCCCTAGCTCTTTTTTGAGACAGGGTTTCTCTAAGTTGCCAAAATTGCAATCCTCCTGCCTCAGCCTCCCAAGTCACTGGTATAGACTTACACCACGATGCCTGTCAAGAATGACATTTTTTAGTATTTAAATTTATCTCTGTTTTATAGGTCTATATGTTTTTTAAATTTGGAACAAAGTAAACAGTTTATTTTGTCTAACTTTGTTTTTAATTTAAGTAATTTCTAAAATAAAATATCCTGTATTAAGGGTGCTATTTCAATACTACATAAAATATATATGGATATACTAATAGTGTAATTCTCTAAAATCCGAAATTATTAGAGTTCATTCTTCTAATAGATTTAGTGAACTGGCTGCATTGCTTGCTTATTTCACAGCTTTTCTTGCTTCTTGCTAAGAGACTAGCTCACTCAAAGTAGGCAG